CATGCTCACCACTTTTCTTACGACATGAAACTTCTAATTTCATGTCCATTCCATAGCTACCATGATTCCTTTTAGCCACTACACCACTTTGCTTCGGTTTGGAGCTGATGGCTACAAAAATAGTCCGCCAATGTCACCAACGGCACAACAAAGTTGATAATTATAGTTCTTGGAGCACTTCAAAATAATGCCTGTGGACACAGGAGACTGGTACTGAGCATAATGCTCAGGTGAGAAGGATGACCTTTAAGAGAATGGGAGGCATGGCAGGAATTTCAATCACTCAAATGCTTGTGCTCTCAAAGATTGTTGGATTTCAGCCTGAGAATCCTCTTAACTGCAGGAACTTTTTACATGTAGGTCCACAATTATTTGACCACTTAAGTTCAAAACCACTTGTATAATGAGGACCCCTTGTAGACAGTACAGTATATGTATACACAGGGGGTCCCCAACTTACGAACGCCCGCCAATACAAACGAGGTCCCATAAGGTCAATTATTTTAAGAATCCGACATAGGTACAACTGGTTCGTAGTACAATATTATCATTTGAGAACTAGTTTGTGTGACGTAGCAACAAGGCAGAGCGGCATGTGGGGAGTAATGCGTCACCCAGCCACGCGCCTTGAGGGAGCATAAGTGCGTTTTACCTTCACCACATTAACCTGTGTGATCAAGTGCAAACTGTTGTTTTTTGCTTATTAACTCTCATTTATTGCCCTCATGTCTCCCAAATGCAAACCTGATGCAAGAGATAGTGGTCCATCCAAGAAAAGGAAAACAATCACAATGGAAGTGAAACTTGATGTAATTAAACTTCCTGAAAAAGGCCAAACACCCTCAGTCATTGGTAAAGCGCTGAGCTTCAGTCGGTCAACAATCGGAACAATTTTGAAAGACAGAGAAAATTCTTGAATATGTAAAAAGATCTACACCAATATACTCAATTATAATGATAAACAAAGAAGTAGACTGTTAATAAAAATGGAAAGATTGTGAGTGATACGGGTGGAAGATCAAAATCAATTAGATTTGCCTCTAAGTCCAGCCTTGACTCAGGAAAAAGTGAGAAGCTTCCATGTTGACTTGAAGGCTAAATGTGGTGGTGAAAGCAAAGGGGAAGATTTTGTTGCTAGTAGGGGCTGGTTTAACCATTTCAAGGTCGGGGCAAATGGTGTTTGGAAAAAAACACTGCCCACAGTTTGTCCACGATTTCAGGGGCTTTGAAAATGATGTAGGGGAAGTGACACAGACAGTGGTAGACCTTGAGAACCAACTCCAGCTTGATATTCATGAGGATGATGACACACAGTTGCTTGAGTCTCATGCTGAAGAATTAAGCCACAAGGATCTGATTAAACTGGAGAAGCAAATTTTGTCAGAGCTGAAACTCCAGAACCAAAGGGATTCATTACAAAATAGATGGCAGATGATTTCAGGCTTATTGAAGAAGGATTGTTTAAATTCTAACAACAAGATTCATAGACGTATTACTGAATATATCAACAATGCTACAGAGATTTACGATGAAAAGAAGGAAGTTTCAGTTCCACCACCCCAATAAAGCATCTGTCACTCCTACAAATGCCCATCTCTACATGCAAGCCAGTCCCAGGTTTCAATGTAAGTGTTAAACTTTAATTATTAGTTTCCTTTACTATATTTTGTCATTCAATTTCCTCTTTTCTCTTAAATTAAGTGATTCAAAATATATAAAAAGACTTAGGCTATGATATAGTGGACATAGGGTATGTGTTCCGACTTAAAAACGTCCTCAGGAATGGAACTCGTTCGTAGCCCGGGGACCTCTGTACAGGTATTGTTTATTGTTTTGAATACTGTTGCTTCCATGACAGCTTGACATTATATTACAGTAGATCAACCATACAATCATAATTTCTTGTACAAAATTGACTTCTAATTGTTGCCCGTGTAAGTTTGTGAACTGTGTCAGCAGTTTATGAGAGAAAACTATCAGCAAGTGTTCACAACAGATGCATAAGTGCACCATGATCAAATGCTTTTCAGTGGCCATTGTCTGTCAGCATTTTTAAAAAGGGAATTGCCATCTTGTACGTGTAATGACAAGCCTTCCCAGCTGTCCCTCATGGACAAAAAGGTAAAGTTGATGCTTTAACAGAGGAACCCCTAATACACCTTCCCTGCATCATAAAGCTAAACTTTTTAAATCACTCTGCCAGTACAATACTGTACTGGCAACAAGTCATGGGTAAAGACAGTACTGTACGGTATACTGTACTGCATGTATTCAAGGTTTTATTGTATAAGTAAAATTTAATACTATAATGTAACTCTAAAAAAATCATTTGTGGATAGTCACTGACACTTTCACCCTTGAACTCCTCTATTTCTAATAACAAGTTGATTTTGAACTGCTGAAAGTTGATCTAACTTGACCTCCTTCTGGAACCCTGAAGCCAAATCTTGATACATTCAGAGAACCTTGTGTGTGTGTGGTAATGAAAAGTATGAGAAAAAAAATATACAGGATATTTCTGGTGCATATATGCACACATTACAAATTTAATCATTTGTAAAATTAGGTAATCAGGCATCCCTTAGCAGCTTAGCTTATCAAACATCCAATGGCAAGCAAAATAAATCAGAAAACTCAACACTGACAGTGATTTAATGAAATAGATAACTACGGTACCCCTTTGCTGATGAACTACAACACATCTCCAAAACATAGCAACCAAGGTTCTAACTGCATTGCAAAATAACAAGTTACCAACATTATGCACCAATATACTGTGTCCAAATCTATGAGGTTTATGAATGCAAACTGGCAAATAATATTATTCTGTATGAATTTCACAAAACCAGATACTGTAACAGTATTGTACTGTACTTTAATATACAGATCTATGTAGTGTACAGCCATTAAGGACATCTACATTTGCTGTACACATTATTTAAATAATAAATTACATTCTTCCTTTGAAATGTGTATATCAATAGCTGTTCTGTATATGGTTGGCTGATCTTTACTTGTACAGCCCTAAGATAAATTGCAAAAAACCATCAACTGTAATTCGTAATTAATTTTCAGTACGGCATTATATGATCAAGGAATATAAATTGTCAAGTGAAACTTTGCTTCTTCCATATCAGCACTTTATTTTTCACATTAATTCATCAGCTTGAACAAAATAAAACTGTACTGTAATCATATCCCAATGGACATATATTTTCACATGAACCATCATCACACTGGTGGTCACAACAGCTGAAGGAAATTACACCTCAGGAGACAAAGCTAACTTAAGGGAGGAGGTCTGACTTAACACATCAACAAAGGTTATATATTAATATAACTTACATTAATAAAGGTTATACAAAAACATAACCCACATTAAGAGGGTACATAATATATATTTCCCTTTATGAAGATATGTTAAGTTATTTGGGGCCAAGTTATAGCGCAGTACTTGATCAAACACTGTACAACTGATACACCTGCTCATGTTTGTTTATATTGTTGTCTATGAATGAATATTTCTTCAGGTGGAGCAAACTAGTGATTTTTTCGTGGTTATTTATGAGACAATAAATGCAATAATAGGTCATTATTATTTTTGTTCGTCAAACTTATTTTTTTTTTATTCAGCAAAATATCAGAGCGTATGATCACAGAGTAACCAAGTTGTTGTTTTGTTTTACTGTATTAACGTAAGGGAGGGATGAAGGATATTTGTACTCTGTCAAATCAAAATTAGCTTCATGTTTATAACTTTGATTATAAATCACATATAACTGATCATCAAATCTAATTATTACAGTAGCATTTTAAAAGGTGCAATGAATTACTATATAATCTCTTCTTCTTAAAGTACATTAAAAATTAAAAAATAAAGGGAGGTACAATATACTGTACATTTTCTCAATACTGTATACTTATTAGAGTACTGTACGTATACTGTATCTGATATTCACTCTTAAGATTTTCATTAAAACTGCATCGAAGCATAATGTTTACGCCTCATATGTGCAATAACATGGGCTTTCTGGGTTGCACGGTAGGGGCAGTAGGGGCAGCTGAAAGGCTTCTCCCCAGTATGAGTCCTAAGATGCCGCCTCATGTCTTCTTTCTTGGAAGAGGATCGGGAGCAGAAGATACAGGTGTAGCGGCCAACCTCCACCTGCGGCGACGGTTCCTTCCCACCTAACGCCCTCACCTAAAACAAAGATCATCGGGCGGCGGTTACACAAGGTCTAATGTGAGCCGTGTGTCTTAAGTCATTTACAATTTAGAAAATGATTAAGGAACACAATATGCATCTTACATTTTATTTTTCCACTGGGAATACAACCAGGCATTTGCAGATAAATAACAAAGCTTAAATACTAGTAAACTTTCCAAAAGTTATACCAGTTCAAAACTGCATACTGTACTGTACTCATGTCCAGTAACCTCTTTAATTTCTTTCAGTCACCACTAACACAAAAACACATGCACACACACAAGAAAAAATATACAGTACTGTATATATATTGTTCTTAAACTTATCTGAAGATCTGTGATATAACTTTTGAACAAATTAACCAAAACAACATGTAACTGTACCTCGTGTATGTACAGTACAGCATTTAAAGCTGAAACTATACAGTACTATATGTTGTTTGACAGGCACAACTGTGTTGAAGATAAATGTAAAAAAAATATGACACTCTATAATAATATTTACTGTTTTGAGAGAGAGAGAGAGAGATTGTGTGTGTGTTCTGCTACAAATAAATAAATCTTTTCACAGCTTCCTTCTTTAATTAACTAGAGTAGTTACAAATGAAATAAATATCTACAGCACCCCAGTCAAATATATACAGTATACTGTACTAAACTGTATCTACATTTATTCTATGCACACCTTGACCTCTTAAGAAATATGTTGGACTAGTATCATCATTATAAAATATTACTCCTCAGCAAGGTGCACTAGACCACGATTTTCCATTTTTTGGTGTGTCAGCATAATACTAAGACTGGCTGTGGGCGTCCCAAGGTCCTATTTTATATCTAAATGGATCTTCAGCTTGTGGCATCTGGTGCTTTCGCTTGCAGTGTTCCTCCACATGAGCTTTCCTGCTAGCTCTGTATGGGCAGTGAGGACACATATAGGGCTTCTCTCCAGTATGAGTCCTGATGTGTCTTGTGAGAACCCCAGACTGGCGGAACATACGGCCACAGAAGGGACAAGTAGGTGTGGTGGCTTGTTCACTACTCAGAGCTCCCAGCAACGCACTGTCCAAGCATCTTCGGTCCTCGGGATCCACCACATCCACCTACAACAGAGACGTCCCCTGAGATCCCTCAACGTATTACCCTAATTATAAAAACGTGTTTTTCTTGGAAAACAGAATTGGGAAAAAATTACTTTGCAATCAATGACAAGATATTTTCCCTAATTGCACCAAGTATGAAATGGTAACTGGGCAAAGGCAGGTGTAAAGTTATGGAAGCAGAACAAAGAAAACAGTTGGAAAGAAATTATAAGATGATTACAGTAATTTGTAATTATATGCAACTATTTTTATTACAGGTATAAATACAAGGAGTTAAATATATATATATATATATTTTTTTTTAATTTCCTGGGAAATTATAAGGAAAATTTTTAAGAACAAGTGTAGACAGAGCCACTAACAGCAGAGGCTCATACAGACACTATAAGCCAGATTTTCAAGACCACTTCAAAGTGAGTCTATATTATTATAAGGAACAATGATAATTATGTTAATGAGAAGGGAGAGAGAGAGAGAGAGAGAGAGAGAGAGAGAGAGAGAGAGAGAGAGAGAGAGAGAGAGAGAGAGAGAGAGAGAGAGAGAGAGAGAGAGAGAGAGAGAGAGAGAGAGAGAGAGAGAGAGAGAGAGAGAGAGAGAGAGAGAGAGAGAGAGAGAGAGAGAGAGAGAGAGAGAGAGAGAGAGAGAGAGAGAGAGAGAGAGAGAGAGAGAGAGAGAGAGAGAGAGAGAGAGAGAGAGAGAGAGAGAGAGAGAGAGAGAGAGAGAGAGAGAGAGAGAGAGAGAGAGAGAGAGAGAGAGAGAGAGAGAGAGAGAGAGAGAGAGAGAGAGAGAGAGAGAGAGAGAGAGAGAGAGAGAGAGAGAGAGAGAGAGAGAGAGAGAGAGAGAGAGAGAGAGAGAGAGAGAGAGAGAGAGAGAGAGAGAGAGAGAGAGAGAGAGAGAGAGAGAGAGAGAGAGAGAGAGAGAGAGAGAGAGAGAGAGAGAGAGAGAGAGAGAGAGAGAGAGAGAGAGAGAGAGAGAGAGAGAGAGAGAGAGAGAGAGAGAGAGAGAGAGAGAGAGAGAGAGAGAGAGAGAGAGAGAGAGAGAGAGAGAGAGAGAGAGAGAGAGAGAGAGAGAGAGAGAGAGAGAGAGAGAGAGAGAGAGAGAGAGAGAGAGAGAGAGAGAGAGAGAGAGAGAGAGAGAGAGAGAGAGAGAGAGAGAGAGAGAGAGAGAGAGAGAGAGAGAGAGAGAGAGAGAGAGAGAGAGAGAGAGAGAGAGAGAGAGAGAGAGAGAGAGAGAGAGAGAGAGAGAGAGAGAGAGAGAGAGAGAGAGAGAGAGAGAGAGAGAGAGAGAGAGAGAGAGAGAGAGAGAGAGAGAGAGAGAGAGAGAGAGAGAGAGAGAGAGAGAGAGAGAGAGAGAGAGAGAGAGAGAGAGAGAGAGAGAGAGAGAGAGAGAGAGAGAGAGAGAGAGAGAGAGAGAGAGAGAGAGAGAGAGAGAGAGAGAGAGAGAGAGAGAGAGAGAGAGAGAGAGAGAGAGAGAGAGAGAGAGAGAGAGAGAGAGAGAGAGAGAGAGAGAGAGAGAGAGAGAGAGAGAGAGAGAGAGAGAGAGAGAGAGAGAGAGAGAGAGAGAGAGAGAGAGAGAGAGAGAGAGAGAGAGAGAGAGAGAGAGAGAGAGAGAGAGAGAGAGAGAGAGAGAGAGAGAGAGAGAGAGAGAGAGAGAGAGAGAGAGAGAGAGAGAGAGAGAGAGAGAGAGAGAGCATTAAGGTACTGTACAGTATAAGCAGATCAATAAACTGGTTTTTTTTCATTGTTTTTTTATAACAGGGAATAGCCCACCCGGGTACAGGTCATCGACCCACAATGGTGCCTAGGGGGCGAGAAAATAAAGAGTAAAAAAAAATTAAAAATAGAAAAGAAAAAGATCATATTAATCTACACCACGAAGATGCCGGAAAACCAGCTTTTTGAAGTTCAATTTAATATCCCGTTTTCTATTACTATAAATAAAGGTTTACCATAATGTACACACACACACACACACCTTATACTAGTCAATATCTTTTAAAGAAAGCAATGTAAAATTTATTCTTTAACTTTATCAGAATCTGCAGTCCAAATTCTACTGAGAAAATATAAAGGGATTGAACTACTACTGGACAACAGACACTTGGTACTTCTCATCATACACAACCACTCCTTTGGCATCTGGTAAAGAAGAGTGATCATAACTGGTCACACACAACCCACATCTGATCCTTGTTGAGATTTTACCCACATTATGCTAACTACTTTGTCCCAACTGAATCTATTTAAAGAATGAGAACAAACTGGTCTTACAAGATAAAAATTGACTCACAGACAGACAAACATACACCAGGAAAATACTGGACTCACTTTCATCGGCTTTTACCTTTTAAAGTTAAGAAAAAATTGAGGTAAGGTAAAGAGAAATAAAATACAAAATTACAGTGCCATTATTTCATTCCTTATTTAACATCATAATATAACCCACATTTAAGTTTATTCACAATATTGAAATTAATACAAGACTCATACTCCAGAGAAGCTATAGCTCACGCACACCCAAAGTTTGAGATATAAATAACACGACCCCACACCATATATTTACCCGCTAAGTCCATTTTTCAAACAAGGTACCGTATTAATTAAAACCAGCGTGTTATTAATATCAGTAATATACGGTATATATATATATATATATATATATATATATATATATATATATATATATATATATATATATATATATATATATATATATATATATATATATATATATATATATATATATATATATTCCAGTACTGTTGCTGTATATCAATAACTTACAGAGTACAGTAGTGCAAGTATTCTCTATCATGATCATTGTATTGATTTATTTATTCTATTTTTTTTTTTTTAGTAAATCTATAATTCATACTTAACAACATGAGGCTTCTGATGGTTGACCCAATGCCATGCAGTACAGTGTTACATTTTGGATATACTGTACAGTACAGTATCACTTATATTACAGGAACTTATAAACTATGTATAAAAAATAATGTAATGTATATCATAAAAGATGTAGGTTTTATATGCCAGAACTTTTATTTTCTATCCTTTTAAAAAAAATTACTGTACCGTAATAAGGAAGATCTGTAACAAGATAAATGTGTTAAAGTCGTCGTCATATTCAACATTTAACTTTGGTATAGTATGCTGTATAATAAAATACTGTACGGTACTGTACTGTATTTTTTCATCGATACAGTATTTCATTTCACAATCCACTTACGCTCCAATCTTAATATCCACTTTTCAGACAATATGCACACTATCAGTACATCTCTTTAGAATGTGGTGATATTGTAAAAAAAAAAAATGGTGTCATGTTGTTTAAATATAAACTATCGACTATTTCCAGCCATATTCCATCCTCACGTTTACAAGATTAAAAATTCCTATACAGTACAAATATTATTATTATTAATTTTTAATACTGCACCCTGTATAACCAAATCTCTTTGAAACAAACTTGCTGAAGGTTATAATGAAATTTTACTTTGCAAGATTTCCTTCACAGTTGATGCTGAACTGGCAACTTACACTTACTGTACAAAAATTGTAGTAGCTTAAATTTTCTTTTTAATTGGAACAATAAAGTAAAATAAAATAAAATAAAATTAATAAGTAAATGCATCCTGATTCAACAAAATGCTGCAATTGTTATATTAATCAAAATAAAAACTTGTTATGATATTTGTACTTGACTTTCTGTTGTACAGCACAGTACATACAGCATTAAATTGAACGTCAAGATCTGTGGGGCAAAAATCTTGCCAGCCATTTTCAATTATACTCAGGTTTCACTTGTAACAACTTAGTTAACGAAACAAGCAACATATGTTATCTCACTGAACTGTTGTCCACAGTTCTAAACATTTTGAGCCCTAAACTATGCAAAAAAGATTTAGGGCCTTAAGGCCTATTTTCTTTTCTTTATTCAGTTTTTCAAAATATTGTATAATGTCTTAGAAGCTATACTCTAGTTTTGAAATAATTCTTAAAATATTAATTTTCATTAAGAAGCATTAATGATGATGTGCAAGAACATGATTCCTAAGTGTAGACTTTCTGCTCGAGCGATAAGGGCAGTGAAGGCACTGGAACGGCTTCTCTCCAGTATGAGTACGGATGTGGCGAGTCAGGTCCCCTGTCTTAATGAATTCCCGTCCACAATACGGACAAGAGTTGACTGAACATCGTGAACCACCACTAGCTTGCTGGGGCCCAGGGGGCTGCTGCGCCACTCCCACCATGACTGGCTGCGCACTTCTGCCAGGGACCTACAAGAGAGACCACCTCTTAGTTCACTTTGTGTATGGCCCATTACAATTATCATTTGTACTTTATACAATTTAGCTGAGCAGTAATTCCCTCTTTTTTTAGGGGTTAAAGCAAATGTGAAATAGATTTTGTAAAGAAAATTCGTGCATTTCCTAAGTTCACCACAAAAAGGTTTCGTAACCGTGCCATTTTCTGGTCTATTGTCAGCGAGACAAGTGTTTCAGATTTCAGTAATGTATGAAATCAATCCACAACTGGTTACCCACAAAGGGCACACAAGATCAATGACAACTCAACTACAATTCCTATACAGTAATATATATATATATATATATATATATATATATATATATATATATATATATATATATATATATATATATATATATATATATATATATATATATATATATATATATATATATATTTTATATATATATATATATATATATATATATATATATATATATATATATATATATATATATATATATATATATATATATATATATATATATACACACAGTGGGGTATGCTATAACGAATGGATCCTACTACGAATATTCCTATAACGAACGTTTTTACCTATAAAATTGAGAATGCTATAACGAACGCAACTCCTACAACGAACGCGGATGAATACGGGACTATTTCGCCTGGCGCATGAATATTGTTGTACCGCGACCCACAACAAGAGCGTCAGGCGCCGTCTTTGTCTCATTGTGTAGCCAGTGCACCACTGTTATTGTTGAAATTTCGTCTTTTGATGTGGAAATAGAGTTATTTGTATAAATATATTGTTATACAAGTGTACAATTGTAACAATGAATCATCCAAAGCGAGTGAGAAAGCTCATAACTCTTAAAACTAAGAAAGAAATCATAAAGAAACGTGAGGATGGAACAAGTAAACTTAGTGATGAGTATGGGATGGCTAAATCGACTAAAGTCAACCCTCACTTTACGCGGTTAATGTAACCCACAGGGTACCGTGGAAAGTGAGAAATGCGTAGTGTGAATAACATAACATATGGGATTAAATGAAATAGAGACCAGCTGACCCCCAAACTCCACTTTTTCCAACACAATACCTATGTTCTAGTAAAAATAACATCTTAATTTTATGATGGTACATGCACACAATTAATACTTAAGAGAAATAGAGAAATACAGTCGCCAAGTTAATGTCCATTCAAATAATGGACTCAACTCCCTCCCCCTCTTCTCACACTACACTCGCTGGCTCTTCCCTCTGAGAAATTTTGGGGGGAAAACCAGGTATAGTATAAATAATACCTCAAACTAAAGTTAGGATAACATAATTGACATTGCTGGATTCCTTGTAAGACCAGGAATATTTTGAATATAAATGTCATATTTTGCACAAAAGATAACATATTTACTCAGAGTAAACATTATATCTATAATTTGTATGTCTAATGCAAAATCTATGATGTTTATATTCAAAATGATCATCAAATTGTAAGAATTCCAGCAATGTAAATCATATTCTGGCCGGGTAATTTGTATGAATTTTATGAGCTAAAACAAATATCTTCAGTTAATAAAAAAAAAAATATTCTTCACACCGTGGTGCCAGGTGGTCGGTCGCCGGTCCCTCCTTCCCTCCCACCCCCCACCAACCCTCCCTACCAGATGAATGTGTGGGAATACCAGACTGTTTACCTTTTTAGTAATAAATAATAAATCAGACTAAAGTTAGGATAATATAATTGACATTGCTGGATTCCTTGTAAGACCAGGAATATTTTGAATATAAATGTCATATATTTTGCACAAAAGATAACATATTTACTCAGAGTAAACATTATATCTATAATTTGTATGTCTAATGCAAAATCTATGATGTTTATATTCAAAATGATCATCAAATTGTAAGAATTCCAGCAATGTAAATTATATTCTGGCCGGATAATTTGTATGAATTTTATGAGCTAAATAAAAAAATTATACTTCACCTGTGTAAAGGGGTACACCCACCGCGGAATGTGAGCATCCTGGGTTCTGGCAGAGCACCGTGTAAACGTGGAAACGGAATGTGGGAACGCGTAAAGTGAGGGTTGACTGTATATGTACAATTATAAAGAATAAAGAGGAGTTGAAAACTGTGCAAGTGGCTAAGGGAATCTCTAGACTTACCAAAGCAAGGTGTAATGTGATTGAGGAGACGGAAAATTTACTCTTAGTGTGGATAAAGGAGAAAGAAATAGCAGGTGATAGCATTAGTGAAGCTATAATTTGTGAGAAGGCCAGACAATTGTTTGAGGACCTTAAAGCCAAGACTCCCAGTGCAAGTGATAGTGATGTGCCAGTGTTTAGGGGTACCAAGGGGTGGTTTACTGGTTTCAGAATGAGAAATAAGTTACACAGTGTTGTGAGACATGGTGATGCTGCTAGTGCAGATAAGGAAGCAGCTAAGGAACACCATGACATTTTTTTGAATGTGATTAAAGAGGGAGGCTTTGTTTCTAAGCAGGTATTCAACTGGATGAAACTGGACTTTTTTGGAAAAAAAATGCCTCGCTGTACATACATTACCAGGGAGGAAACTTCTGTCCCTGGCCATAAGCCAATGAAAGACAGGCTTACCCTCCTTCTTTGTGCTTATGCTTCTGGTGACTGCAAAATAAAGCCAATCCTTGTGTACCATGCAGAAAACCCCAGAGCTTTCAAAAACATTAGGAAGACCAACCTTAGTGTTATGTGGCGGTCAAACCCAAAGGCTTGGGTGACCAGGAATTTATTCTCTGAGTGGGTGATTGAGGTGTTTGGACCCAGTGTTCGGGAATACCTCAGGGAGAATAATCTTCCACTGAAAGCTTTGTTGGTGATGGACAATGCACCAACCCACCCTCCTAATTTGATGGTTGAATTGCCAGAGAAGTTCAACTTCATCACTGTGCACTTCTTGCCACCCAACACAACACCTCTCATCCAGCCCATGGATCAATAGGTAATTTCTAACTTTAAGAAGCTGTACACAAAGGCACTGTTTAGAAAATGTTTTGCGTCCACTTCTTCCAGTGATGTTAGTTTGAAGGAATTTTGGAAGAGTCACTTCAATATAGCAGATGCTGTTTTTTTAATTACCTCAGCCTGGAAAGAGGTTACTGTGAGGTGTCTTTGTGCTGCTTGGAGGCCATTGTGGCCTGAATGTGTCCTTCAAAGAGACTTTGAAGGCTTCGAAGAGTTAGAAGAAGAGGCTGTGGTTCATGAAATTGTGTCTCTGGGCAATTCCATGGGCCTGGAAGTGGATGATGATGATGTTGAGAAGTTGGTGGAAGAGCACAGTAAGGAGCTGTCCACTGAAGAGCTGCTTGAGCTTCACAAAGAACAAAATGAGACACTGAAGCAGAGCTTAACTTCTGAGGAGTCAGGGGAGGAGGAGGAGGACAAGGAGGAAAGCCGCATCATTCCAGCCAAAGATCTCAAGGATGCGTTCTTTTGCTGGAGCAAACTGTCCAAACTTGCTGAGGATTATCATCCTGATGTTGGTTCTGTGCAAAAGGCCATCAGTGTGTTTAATGACAATGTTATGAACTACTTTTGGAAGGTCCAGAAATCAAGGTTGAAGCAGCCAACCCTGGATTCCTTCTTTAAAAAGGTAACAAAAGAACCTACAGACAAAATGCCTGTAAGACAGTCACCAAAGAGGGCTAGGAAGGATGACTCCTCTCCTTCCACCTCTTCTCCATAATTCTCTCCTCCTCTGCCTTTCCGTGCTGAACAACACTAAGGTAAGATAAAGTACTGTATTACATTTTCCACAGAATTTTTTCAGTGTTAAGTGGTTGTATTTGCCTGAACGGATTAATCCTATAACGTAACGGTTCTAGAACCAATTAGATTCATAGAAGATACCCCATCTGTATATAAATATATATACAGGCATCCCCAAGGATGAAGAGTTCCGCCCCGAAATTCCTGACGCAAATCTTTAACGTAAACCTATTTCCCATTGACTTCAATTAAAAACTGGAGATGCTTGCTAAGGAATTTTTTCGCCCAAAAAGTATCAGCACTTTTTATTAATGAAAATAAACATTTATAAACACATACAATACAGTAATTAAATTTATTTTATACCTTTTAAAACACCAATTTAGGGGTTATATTGCATAATATTGCATTATACAGCTTTGTGTATGTTTATTTGAGTGCCTTGTCATAGAGTCCGTCACTTCAACTTGAGCATCCTGCTTACTAAATCTTAAGAGTGCACCAGAGACTATTATTTTTTAGTGGTGACACAGAATTTGATATTGCAACTGGGGTTCCAATTGTTGAGACAACTGATATGTCTGATTACAGTTGGAATATTCAAGATCCATTGAGTGATGTTTAAAGGTTCAACTGTCTTTATGGTTGAAACTTGTCAAGTCTGTCAGTCTGAATGGCTGTGTGAGGCCTTTGTGTTTATAAAATTTACCCCATCAGAAGGGTTGATTTACGGCCAGAATGCGAAATCATTGGTCATAATTTACAAATCGAGAGCGAAATTCCATAACCCGGCTTCCTAGAATTATATATATATATATATATATATATATATATATATATATATATATATATATATATATATATATATATATATATATATATATATATATATATATATATATATATATATATATATATATATATATATATATATATATATATATATATACAGTATTACTCACTTAACGCGTTTCACTTTAATCATGATCATATACGTGCTCCTCAGAGCTGAACTTTCACTTAACACGATTTTTCCAATATATACGGTGAGTGTCCGCCTGAGACGCTATTTTAGATTTGCCCCACCCTGCCTGATTGTCTGTTTTAGCTCATAAAATTCATAAATTACTTCGATAGAATATAATTATTGCCTCATGAGCCAGACTTTCACTTGCGGATTTTTTTCACATATCACGTGCGGTGTCGGCTCGAAACTTTATTTTTTTAGATTT